CAGACAATTCTTAAAGAAGTTGGTCTGTGATAGAGATGAGAAACAGATGAGAAAAAGGGGAAGGGGAATTTTGTTAAAAAGAAGCCAGTTGGGAGAGAGATTGACCATGATAAAGAGGAGGTGGATCAGAGGCAAGAGGTGGGATGGAGAAGGATGGATGGATGAAGCAAGAGTGAGACATTAATACAGAACAGGAGACTATCAGAAAAGATTTGCTCACACCAGATTTCACTGAACCAGCTGCTGCTGTCTTTCATGTTTAACGATCCTTTCTGTTGTAAGCATTTAACCTATTGGAAAGAGAGATTCCAGCTCCCTCCTACTGGCTCACCCCTAAAATTTCCAGAACAATAGAAACTGGAGTAAAGTGAAACTGGGAGCCAGGAACTCAATCTAGGCTCCTATATTAATGGCTGGAGTCGTCAATCTCTGGCACCCATGTCCATGTTAATACGAATCCAGAGCACAACCAGAACTCCAAGTCAGGCACCGCGGTGTGGGATGCAGGCATCCCTAGCAGCATCTCAGCACTGTAGCCAGTGCTACCCTGTGCCTGGTGTTTAGACAAGGGTTTCACAAAGGGGCCAAGAATAAGGTAGACTGAAAGAGCAGAGCTACTCCTAGCAATATGTTACTTTCCAAGAAAGGATCTTCCAAAACTTTTCATCTTGTATCCAGTAATGAAAAGTTTCTTTTTACTTCTTGACCTTAAAAGTCTGTACGGTGTGTTAAGTTTTCTAGCAAACATGAGGGCAGGCCTCCTCGTGTTTGTTTCTACTAATGCCATCAAATAGCCAAAACTGGGATAATGGGGTAGCTTGTAACAAAAACATGATTGGAAAGTCCACTTGCTATCTTATAACATACAATGTCACTGAAGACCTTCAATCTTACAATCTTCAGATAAAATGAGTTCATGGCAGAGGGTCTGGGTGGAATCTCCCAGTACTGACCAAGGACACACTCCCAAAAGGACACTGCAGTGTCAGATGCTGCTTGTCATAGAAATGCTGACTTTCCCAGATTTGGCAGGCTCAATTTCTGACCAAGTTAGAATAGCATTTCCTATTAGAAACATTGGAGTTAAAACAAAATACAACATCTGGGAATAGGCTTCTGCCTCTGAGGTGGTTCTGGGGGAGTGGTTCGCAACCATTTGGATATGTGCTTTTGATGCTATGATGGTCTAGTTCAATATTATTTTAATTAAAGAAAGATCTTCCATCCATTGGTTCACTCCCCAAGTAGCCACAGTAGCCGGAGCTGGACTATGTCAAAGCCAGGAGCTTCTCCTAGGTTTCCCATGTGGGTTTTTGCACTGCTTTTCCCAGACACATTAGCTGAGAAATAGATTGCAGGTGGAGCAGCCGAGACACAAGTCAGCACTATATGGAATGCCAGGGTTGCATTTGGTGGCTTAACCTGCTATGCCACAATGTGGTGCTTTAATTCCATTTTCCACAAACTTGTTTGAAATAACTTCTTTGTGAAATGTTGAAGGAAATAACAACTTATTAATTTCTTGATTCTTAATAAATCTAAATATCTAAGCTTCATATATGGTTTCCAGAAGTCCATATACTCTCCATGTGTTCTTGAACTGGAACTTTAGTCAAGTTCTCACAAGGGCTAAGGATCTTCATTTAGACTTTCTCATTATTCCCAGATCAGGCTGCACACACCAGGAGAGCTGGCCGCCTAGTAGGTGCTATTTGCCCCTTTTATGCATGAGAGTCATGGCTGAATTTACACTAAGGGTGTTATTTAAATGTTGCTAGTTCTATTATAGTTTTTCCTTATGAAAATAGATATAAGATATTTCTCTATGATCTCTTAACTAGAAATATTTGTGCAGAGATTTTACTGAAGAGCTATGTAAAATGGCAAATTCTTTTTTGTTGCTAGCAGGTCAACAGTTGAACTTTTCACCTACTTTCCATCCAAGTAGGTAGGATGTCCGACATGTGTTTTGTGTTACTGCCCCTGGGGTTTGGGAGCTAACAAACAACATCCATTTTTCTCCTGGCTTTTAAATGGAGAAATACACACATGAATAGATACATGGAAGGCCAGTGGGGAATGTTGTGACCCAATAAAGCAAGACGGAAGGATGCAGCTTGGGTGTTTAATTCACCAACCTGAGAACTCAGGTGCACTCAGCCCAGAGGGGAGACCAGCTCAACCCCTTTCCCAAAGACCCAGGCAAATGCTCAGGCCCTGGCACTTGGCTTGCCTCCCTGAAAGAGGGACTATGTCAAAAGGCCAGGAAGGCTGTCCTGTGAAACATGTGGGAGGGAGAGGAAATAATTGACCACAAAACTGATCTTTAAAAAAAAAACACCTCAGCCCATCCTCCCTGGCTCAGTTCCCCAGGTAGGCAGCTAATAGCAGCACATGTATTTTGTAAAATTCTTTAGACTCTTTTCAAATAGGTTGGGTAAAATCATTTAAATGTTGGATTTATTTTAAAATCATAGGAATTAGTTCAAACTTCTTTTTTTTTCTTTGTTTCCATCTCTTTCTTCCTTCCTTCCTTTCTTTTTTTTTTTTTAAAGATTTATTTTATTTTTATCGCAAAGTCAGATATACAGAGAGGAGAGACAGAGAGGAAGGTCTTCTGTCCAAAGGTTCACTCCTCAAGCAGCCGCAACAGTTGGAGCTGAGCCAATCCGAAGCCGCGGGCCTCTTCCGGGTCTCCCATGTGAGTGCAGAGTCCTAAAGCTTTGCACCATCCTTGACTGCTTTCCCAGGCCACAGGCAGGGGAGCTGGATGGGAAGCGGTGCGTTCAAGGCAAGGACCTTAACCGCTACACTGTCGTGCTGGGCTCCCTTTCTTTTTTTAATGGAGCAGGGCAGGGTACAAGAAGATGAAACCCCACATCATTTAGCGTGTTCTGAGAGGAAGAGATTTTGAGGAAGCCGGAAATTGATGAATTGTTTTTCCCTGCTTCTCAATGTTTAAAATTTTTTTAATTTTTATGACTTGTGTTTCAAAAGATTTTTTGTTAACTCTGGTTTAAAAACACAAAGGTTAAGGTTATGAAAGCGGCCAACCCCAGATTAGCAAGAAATCATTTCTGTTGAGAGGACGGACAGGATTAAATGTTCCATTGTGAACCCGTTTTAGAAGACTCCTGCCAAGTTCCTAAGCAAAAACTGTAGAACTGATACGGCCAAAGTGTAACATGCCTTTGCCAGGAGTCACTCTGCAAGGCAATGCCCTGACTTCAGTGGGGCCGCTACCCTGACAATGTTTGTTCCCTTCTTTTGCATTGCCCTTGGGAGCTTCAGAAAGTGCTTGAAATATCTTCAAAAAGGGAAATTCTTTGTCCTTTCATGTGAATCTGTCTTTTGAAATGACCTGTTGCAGCTCTACTTAGAAAATTATACACCCACTGAAATTTGATGGCAAAACTTTTTAATTAAAAAGAAGTTAAGATAAAGGGGCAAATCAAGACCTTAGTTTGGCAATTGTTTCTTATATAAAAGCACCAAAAGACAGGTGTAAGAGGAGAAAAGAGATAGATGGTATTCACTGGAATTAAAAATCTTTGTGCAGCAAGGAAAACTACCAATTGAGTAAAAAGATACTTATTGAATGAGAAAAATGTGGCCATATCGGAAGGTCCACAGAAATATAAAGGACTCCTAAACACACCAACCTCAAAGCAAAGAACCTAATTCAGAAGTGGGCAGAGGACTTGGATCGGCATTTCTTCAAAGGATCACCAAGCATATGAAGAGATTATTAGACATTAGAGAAATCATTATCATCTGAATCAGGAGTCACTGGGGAAATGTGAATCAAAACCACTGGGAGATCACTCAGTGGGAACAGCACACAGGATTTAGACATCAGAATCCCGACACAAAGCTGGTAGGAATATAAAATCATGCAGCCACTATAGAAAGCAGTGTATAGTTCCTCACTAAGTTCTTGACGTTGTCACATGTCCCAGCAATCCTACTCCTCAACATATTCTCCAAACAGTTGTGTCAGGGACAGCAGACACTTGCGTCCTGATAGCCCCCAGTGGGAGCAAGCCACACCGTGAGACAGAATGAAGTGCTGCTAGCACATGGATGGATACTGAAAACCCTGTACAGTGTGAAATAAATTAGTCCAACAAGGACAAGTATTGTTTAATTCCATTCCTATGAGATACTCGAGCAGGCAAAATCATGGCGACAGAGTATATGGCAGGATGCTTGGGGACAAGAGGAAAGAGATAGCTGTTATTTAATGGCTTGTACTAATAATAGCGTTTCCATTGATGAAAGACTTTGGAAATCGTGGTGATAATTACACAACATTGTGAATGTCAGGAATACCACCTAATTGTAAGTTAAAACTTTTCTTTTATATGATATTTTATGTTAGTAAGTATTAAATACCAAGGAATAATATTTTGAGTGGCTAAGGATTAGTATACAGTGAAGCAGATTTTAATAATAAATATTTGACAATACAAACCATTCCAAATTTACAACAGTTAAAATTATATTTAATAAATCTAATGATCTTTCCTCTATTTCTTGGTAAATGCATTGTTGAAATGGTGAAATGCAATATTGTGTCAATGCAATTTTCTACCAATATTAAAAAAAATTTAAATACCATGATCACCAGGGAGTGGTGACACGGTGGCTCAGTCCCCTTCTCAAGGCAGTGTTCTTTGTTCCTAGACCTGGACGTACTCAGAGAAGAGGGAAAATGAATAGACTTTGTGATTCAAAAGAATATAGAACCTAGAGTGAGTGAGTAAATTGTGATCAAATCACATGGTCACACCCCCGGATCAGGAAATAAGGGTTGTTCATGTTTGGTCAATGAATGTCTAAAATATGGGCCACACTTTCCAAACATTGCCGGGAAACTATCTTTACTTTCTGATGAAGATGTTTCCTTTTTGTTCTTCGGGCGCTGCCAGCCTTAGGCAGTTAATACAGGCTCTTCCTTCAGAGCTAACTGCTCACATGCAACCCTGGTTCTTTTCCAGAACATAGGAAACTTGGCAACATGACTGTGACCGTGAAGAAGACTGTCCCCTCCCCTGAGGCCGTGCAGATTCTCTACCAGCGAATGCGATACGAGTACGAGTTCTACCACTACATCAAAGAGCAGTTCCACCTGCTGAAGCGCAAGTTCGGACTCAAGTCTCGCGTGAGCAAACCCCCGCTGAGACCACAGTTCTTTATTCCGTCTCCACTGGAAACTGAAGAGCCCATCGACGACGAGGAACAAGACGATGAAAAGTGGCTAGAAGATATTTATAAGAGGTGATGCCAGCACTGTGTCGCCTTCGTGGCTTTGTCTCCCGATTCCAGAAAGTTCTTTTCTTCGGGGAAGAAAAATCCTCCGGACTGAAATCAATGCTCAGCTGCATAAAAAGAGAAAAACATTCCCACTTGTTGGGGTCGTTGGAAGACGCCCGGTTTTGCGGGTTTTATTTGTTTTGATTTTGTTCTGTGCTGTCTTGTTTTGTTTGTTTTGTGTTGTTTTGTTTTCTTGGCTCCTTGGGTCTTTCCCAGGGACACTAGATGGCTCCACCACAAGGCATCTTGTCATGAAATAGCTTTTTCACCCACCTAGTCCTAGAGCGGTGGGAAAAGGGGGATAAATATTGGGCATACAGTCCATGGCCCAGAAGCAGCATTTGTAAAATAACTTGGAAAAAAATATTACCTCAGTGGTAGGAGACTTTCCAGCCTTGTATATTTCAACAGAAATGCAAAACCACTTCAAAGACCAGGACATCTCCTCTAGAAGGAGCTAAGAGAAGGCAAGACAGACAGGAACCCCAGAAGGGAAGACATCCCTGGTTGAGTGGTTGCTCCCCATGTGGATAGAATTTTGCCTCTGGTTCATTCCAAGGACACTTTTACCGAGAGTAGCATTCTCTGAAACAGCCAGTTAGCTTGTTCCGTGTCTCCAACCAGTCAAGGTCCAAGTGCATGCAGGCTCCACTGAAATATTCCATTTTTAGGCATCAGTCTGACAGCCATCAAAGTGACGCAGCAGGGAAAAGAGTTGGCTTGCTGTGTAAGGGAGAAGCAGACAAGACAGGTGAACTCTGAGGGTCATGTGGCATCAGTGACAGGGCAAGCACTGACTCCTGTGGCAGGATCCCCTGCACCCCGCTCCTGCCCAGGCCAGATCCCCTAATGCTGGTACTATGCACTGTAGTACCTGCTGGGCCCTAAGAGGTATGCGTGCTGTGCAACAAGCAGTCCTGACTTCCATGCAAGCTGCAAAACCACAGCCTCACCCTCCTGAGAACGCTGAGCAGGGCCAGCAAAGAGAGGCAGAAGAGGCTGTGCGGCCACCTCTGTGCATCGCTGCTACCCCCAGTGTGATCTGAGTGGAGACTGAGCAGCTCCAGTGCCCCAGAATAGCTCATATGCACCTACCAGTGATGATGCCTGCATCCAGTCATTGGAAGTCTATGCTTGCATTCTGAAAAGGTTTCACTTATTTTTTTTTTAAGTACTGAAAACACAGAATCTCCTGGATGGATACAAAGGCACCTGCTGAGAAGCTGGGGTGCAGTGGTCCCAGTAGGAGAATCACTCACAGCAAAATGTTGTCTACTTCCTGTAGACATGCAACTTGGGAACCCCTTGGTGAAGAAAATGTTGGCTGTGTACAGATGATATGTGTGCCATTTTGCAGGCACCAGTAGATCTCATTGAGATTTTTCCTGCTTTCACTACAATGGTGCCGTGGCCAAGATAGAAAGGTCAAATCCTGTAGCATCCGCCAAGTGTGTACTAAAGCTACTTTGTCATAAGATGTGTCAGGAAGGCTTGAGCCCTCTCTCAGGAGTCCCCTGAAGGCAGGAGCCACAGGGACACCCTGCCCAGCCCTGCAAGACCAGCTGTGGGCCTCCTTTCCTGCCTCAGCACACTGGGGCGGGGAAGCGAGTACAGCAAAAGTTCTTTGAGGAACAGTTGTCTCGTTCCCAGAGCCCAGGGCTCTACCATCCACCTGGAAAGCAGCTGTCACCTCCAGAGCAAATACAAGACCTGCCGCCCTGGGGGACCTTGAGAATCATCGCTGGGAAGTCAAGTGTAAGGCATCTCACCATCTGAAAACAGTGTGGAGTTGACCACACTTTCTCTGCTGTTCTCAGGAGTCAGGACACCTGGCCCTGCAGAAACTCCTGCTGCTGGTGCAGCGGGGCCCGACCCCCTGTGTGTTCATGGGCATTTTCTTTCCAGCAGCGACTGGCGTCACGTCGCGACTGAAGATGATGTACTTGCAAGGACTTCTGTGGACTTGTCCCAACAAACATCCTCTAGGGCCTGAAAGGCACCTCGTTGAGTTTATTTGGCACCCGTGACAACATTGCTCTGGCCCCTTGCCCAACACGGTTCGTACTTCATGAAATATATTGTACATTTTACATAGTTTAATTTAAAAAATACATTGTAAGCTAGTTGATCTCTGACTGCCTTATTTATTATAACCTTTCAGCACATTCCAAGGTTTTAGCTACTCAGGAAGGAGTTAATTAAAATGATTTTATTTTGGTCTGATGGATGTTTTTGAAAAGGAGAACTATGATTAGAAGCGCTCAGTCTACTTTTCCTTGAGTGCTGTAAAAGTGCTTGTAAATCTTTTTTTTTTAAAGAAGAAAGAAAAAATGGTGTTTGACATTGATGGAGACTCAAAAATATATATGGAATTGAAACATTCGCTTAGCTAAAATAAAAACAATCTGTGTTTCAGGTTAAGTGTTGTTTAACTTATTCCTTGCCCATATAAATAAATGAATATAAAGAAATTGAAAATCTTTCTGTTGTGTTGATACCTGGAAAAAAAGAAGTGCCTGCAGTTCTTGGTAACCACTTCCGTTTTCTAAGCTATCCAGGTCTTTTTTTTTCCCCTCAAGACGTGATTTTGAAAAGCATGATTGAACAACTGTTGACTTTCATTGCTTCACATCCATGACCCCCTCCCAGAAATTTCGATGAAACAGGTGAGCTATTCATTGGTTCATTTCGGCGCGGGTGTGAAGAGCACCAAGTGCAGTGCTTTTCCCATAGGTTGGGTTGGTTTGAGTGTCACCTGTCTGTGACATGAGGGCCCATACCCCATGGTGGCAACCATGCTGGGGAGGGAGGCTGTGCCGGGTCTTTGGCTGTGTAAGCTAATCTGCTCTCCAAATGCGTAGACACCAAGGTTTTAAGACCCTAGCCTCTCAAGTGAGTGCTTTTGGTCCAGAAGTATCCCAGTTGCCTGTGACTGTCAGAGAAACACAGTGTTAAAGAAAAATCCATGTTGGTTAAACACCTGCTGAGATAGCAGGTGGTGTGTGCGGACTTTTTTTTTAAGCTGGAAAAAGAAAGATTGGCTGATTTTTTTTTTTTTTTTTTACTTCTCAGACACCTATAACAGCTCAGCACAGAACAAGCCAAAGCAGAGAGATGGGAACTGGATCTGGGTCTCCCGTGGGAGTGGCCAGGCCCCAGGTATGTGAGGGCATTGTGTGTGCCCGTCCCAGGGTGCACATTAGCAGGAGGCTGAGGTCAGGAACAGAGCTGGGACTGAAACCCAGGCACTCTGACATGGGCTGCGGGCACACCAAGCAGCGTTCTCACCTACGCTTCGGGTAGCCTTGTGAAAACAGAAAAACATTGTGTTCTGTAACCCAGTCAGTGTTTGCAAATGAACTTGAAAACCTCATGTACTAGACAAAAATTGACTGTTCCACATCTGATGTTGCCTGTCTGGCCGGAAGTTCTTTATGAATGTGTTGGACCTGTGAGTCCTAGATGGCTTTCACAGACAAGGTCGGCGCTTCCTCGCAGGCCGACTGGAAGCCCTCAGCCCGGTGGGCCAGAGCGGGTCAGTCTCTCAGCAGAGAGAGGGTTTATTTCAGATGATAAGCATGTAATGCACGTGTGTATGGTTATTTTTAATATCCTGTTGTGGAAAACCTTTTTTTTTTTTTAACTAAAATCAGCCTGAGGAGTCTGCGAAGTAAAACACAAGGCGCGTGCTTCCCAGCCCAGCAAAGTCCCTGTCATGCTGCCGTGACAAAACGCCCCCTTACACCACAGAACCCTAAGGTTCTCTCCCTTCTGGAGTCTAAAAGTCCAAGGTCAGGTTGTCTGCAGGTCAGATCTTCCTGCCTGGCTTACAGCTGGTACCTTCTCCCTGCTTCTTCATGTGTCTCCCCCTCAGTGTGTGTACGTGTTTGTCTGACATCCTCTTAAAAAGACCCCCGTCTTTTGAACTAGGGCCCATTCTAAAGATCTCAGCTTAATGCTCTCATTCAAGTTTCTCTTTCCAAATACAGTCACATGAGGAGGAGCTGCTTGAGACTTCACTATCAAGTTGGGAGGATCCAAGGTAGCCCACACTACCCAGACAACGGTGGAAAAACAACTGCTGCTGGGAAACAAGTCTCCCATCAGACTCCTGAAGCCACTTTTGGCCCAAACGTCACAGGCCAGGAAACTAAGAGCCCAGAGGGAAGATCCATGCTAACTTTTTCCATTTGAGGTTCACTTAACTTTGGTATTTTTACTAAATTCAACCTTTAAAATGACAAGGAGACAGAGAAAAAGCCCGTCAACAGACCTGAGACCCAGAACGTAAATGATGACACACGTCCAGCCACAGCCAGTGCCACACCTGCCACCTGGAGCCCACCTCGCTGTGGGCTATGTCCTGCCAGTTGAGGCTGTAAGGTCCACCCCTTCCAAGGCACAAGGTCCTGCTGGTAAGTCCTGCACTAGGTCAGATACAGAATCAGTATTTTATTCTGGATATTTCTTCCTAATGCAAGAACAGGGAGCGCTCCGTGTGTCTTAAGAAACAGGTTTGAGCCATGTAGGCCCATCTCAGGTTACAGATTTGAAGAAGATTCATATCCTGCTTCTAGTGAGATGTTGCCAGTGGAGCCACCGCAGAGCAGTGCAGTAAAAATGCTGCCCATAGGTTGAGCCCCCTGCAGTGTGGTGGCTGCAAGGGGTGCCCGAGCCAGGCCAGACCCAATGCTTAGTCCTAGGCTTTGGGTGGCCAGTGTGCCCATTGGGGACAAGTCTCTGTTTGCTGGCTGCCCAGCGGCAAGCTCTAGGGCTTTTAGGGTATGTAATTGCTGCCTAGGGGCATCCATAGATAAGACCAATGTGAGTGTAGGTGAGGGATGAATCCTGTGTGAGTGCCAGCAACCTGGTCACAAAACTTGCTGGCAAGCGTGGGGACTGAGACCTGGTGGTTTGGAGGGGAGAGTCCATAAGATCTGTTTGGGCCAGCCTAATTCACCAGTCTACATGGGAGTCCTGAGATGGGCTGTTACGTAGAGCATTGCTGACCGCCACATGCCAGTCCACATGAAAGCTATGGCTGGGGGCCTGTCCGACAGGGCTAGGTGCTAGTACCTGACTGAGTGTTGGAACAGGGGACAGGTCACATTACGCAGGGTCATGACACTAATCAGCACATAAGAGGACCAGGTCCAGGGATAGATTCTGTCGGGGAAGTGTTGGCCGAACCCTGTGGAAATACAAGTCCTGCTGGTTAGCTCAAGAGTTCGAGTGGTGATGGGCTGGGCTAGGTGTGACCATGGAACCTGCCATCAATCACGGGTAAAGGAACCAACAACAGTCTGGGCAGGTCAATGCAGCAGTACCCGAATGTATCCTAAAACAGGGTGTGGGATGGGCTGGGCTGCAACGTTTACCAGCTCATACAAGGCCAAAATGGAAGGACAGACTATGCCGGGCACTGGCCTAACACCCACTGGCATGTATGAGATCTGGGCCTGGGAGTGGGTCAACTGGGGAAGCTTGGGAAACTCCCCTAATGAGTCACAACTCTCACTGATGATCACATGGTCCAGGCCTGGGGGTTGGGCAAGCTGGGCAAAGTAGCTCCAATGGCTGGCTAATGTGTGGGTTGGTTATGGAAGGGAGCAGACCAGGCAGGGCCGAGCAAACCTTAGCTCACAAGCAAGAATAGAAATCAGGATGGAACACAGGTTATGTCAAGCTAGACTCTTACACTGACTGGTTTGGATAAGCCAAGGATGCCAGGCTGCAGCATCGAAGGCAAAGACCAAGACAGATGAAGGGCTATGCCAAGCTGGGTCAGCAACCACTGGCATGCACACAATCTATGGCT